GGAACTGAGTCTCTTCAGTCTGAAGGGAGTGTCCCACACTGACAGGCTGGAGGAACTGAGTCTCTTCAGTCTGAAGGGAGTGTCCCACACTGATGGGCTGGAGGAACTGAGTTTCTTCAGTCTGAAAGGAGTGTCCCACACTGACAGGCTCAGATTGAATAGTGAAACAGGTCTAGAGGACAGAAGATTAACCTACAGGGCAGAGCCTTTACAACTGAGTATAGGAGGTGGGTGCTTACATAAAGGGTTGTGGGGGTGTGGAACAGCCTTCCCAGGAGTATCTGAAGAAACCTATAGGTCACGCTACTAACTACTGAACAGACGAGACGAGCTGAATGGTTTGGAACCTTTTTTCTGGGGTACCCCTGCATTGGATACTGAGGACCACCAGGACTCTTTGGGGAGTCTGTCACAACAGTGTTGTCAACAAACTGGGAGTTTATCTAAAAGCACAAAAACATGCTGGCAAAACACAGCCTCCCCTTCAGAAACTGGGAAACAGGCCTGCGACTCCAGCTACCATATCACCCTGCAGCTCCCAGCTGGCAGCCCACTGGAGCCCAGCAGGTGGGAGCCTGGCCAGTAGCTGGAGGGGAGACTCCTGGGAAGGCTGAGGCTGCTAAGTACGTTTAAGGAATTATAATTATTAATATGATTGCTGACTGCCCCCGCAGGGCTGCGTTCAGAGACAAGAGGAGTGATCGCAAGGTGAGGGTCAGGGTCTGTGAAAGATCTGGGCAGTGAGGGGTTCAATTAATCAATTAACCACTCACTCAGTTTCGGTCTGGTATAGCTTTCATCACAGAGCCCTCTCGAGGCGCTCTACATCAATTATGCAATAAAACCCCGTATAGTATCCAGAACACACAACAGAAGCGGATGAAGATAAGAAACTAAGAGGAGGGGAGAGATGAAGAATTTAAAACATGTTAAGTAGAAGGCGAGATTTAAAAGCATCGATCTACTGGAGCGGCGATTGCAATGCGGTCAGGAAGATCCTTCCAGAGGCGGGCGGGAGTTAAAACTACTTGGTGTCTTGATCTGGGCGAGAAGACGGAGAAATAAAGGCCCGCTGTTTGACAGGGCGACAGCGAGGGGAGAGACGCTTCAGTCGGTTTCATGGCGGCCGTCGGGCAGGAAGGAAGCGATTAACCTCCCCTCCTCCTCCTCCTCCAGCGCCGGCAGGAGGTCACACCCACCCCGGGGAGAAGCAGCTCTGCGCCCCGGGCCGGGAGGACAGACAGACTTCGAGAGAGCTGCACTCATCCGCCGCCTCCTGTCCCGATCACTCCTGACTCCCAGCCCCTGTGCTGGAGTGAGCTCAGCGCGGAGCTCAGCGCCTTTTATACCGGGCTATTCTTAGCCTCGGCGTGCGGGACTATTTATAACGCGCATGAGGTCACCGCGGCCCCGCCCCCGGGAGAGACGGGAGGGGGGTGCGTGACGAGGACGAGCAGGGCCCACCCACACGCGTGTCTTGGAGAGACACAGCCCCGGAGACACAACGGGCCCCGCTGGTCCGGGTGTCAGACGGGTCTCTTTGCTGCGATTTCCGACGCACTGACCTCCCGGCTCTCCCCCGGTCCTGCCCCGTGTGACTCGGCCGAGGGTTTCCTGCAGAAACGCCGCCACGCCACGCCACGCCACGCCCCGGGGTCTGCGTGTGTGACGGGGGGGCACGTCACGCCTGGCGAGAGCAGCTTCAGTATTCGCCACCGCGAATGGCGCCGGGATCGCTGTTCCGTCAGATGGATGTGCGCCGCACCCTGCTGAAAGATTAACCTGTAAACCGACCCGGCTCCTGTCCAGAGACACATTCCTGTGCGTGTTTGCGTGCGTGCAGGCATGTAACTTTATAGAAGCGCAGCATGTCTAGCAGACAACATTTGCCCCGGCCACGATCATCGAAAGAGTGAAACACTGACCTTAAAAGCAAATCGTTGCATTTTTTTTATTATTTTATGGAAGATTTAAGATGTAGGCGCCTCTTTTACTTTTCTCCCGCACCTGCTGGTCCCGCAGGTGAGGGTGATTATATTGAGGCTGTAGGTGATATCATGTCGCCGTGGTTCAATTGACGTCGCACGAGGTGACAATATTTGAACCCCCCCATCCTGCTGGGAATCCGCCCCCCCCCCCCCATGAGCGAGCCGCGTGCCGCAGTCCCGCAGCGCCACCTTGCGGAGAGGAGGAGGAGGAGGAGGTTCAGACTGGACACCCGAATTAAAAGGCGCTCTCCGGCCGCCCGAGGGGTGCAGCGCGACCGCTCCCACATCGGTCCTCGGCGCTGCACACGCGTCGATATCCACGCACAGGCAGCAGGAAGACGAAAACAGCGGTGCGGCTGTTGAAACGCCTTCAGGTGCGCCACCGGGGCGGTAAAACGCGGGGCTGTTGTGTGCAGCCGGGCGGCATTCGCCTTGAGAGTCACACCGCTGTTCCTGCCGCCCGTAGCCGCTGAACTACCAGCAAAACCCCCGGCTCCGCGTCTCCTCCTGTCGTAAGCGGACTTTCCACCAGGGGGCGCTGCGCGCTCGGCCTTGGGGCGCGGAGCGGAGCCGAGCCGGGCTGCTGCGCGCTGGAGAAAGACCCAGCCGCCCTGTGGGACTGTACCTTAGACGTCCACCGGCCGGCGCTGTTGGATTTTGCTGTGTTCCCCCCCCGCCCCCGCGATCGATTTCGAGTCGAAGCAGAATAAGCTTCATGTGCGTGACACGTTTACAGCAGCCCTGCCAGCCCGCCGGAGTGTCGTGTCGCGTCGGGTCCGGTCAGCGAGAGCGCTGCGGAGGACGCGACTCCTGTCCGGCTGGACGTGTGCTGACCAGTCGGCGTCCTGGACGCCGCTCTCGCTGTGGCGAAGCCTGTAATTCCGGGGAACCCGAGGTCCCCTGGCCGCTCCTCCGCCGATCCCCACAAGAACCGACCGCGCATAACTCTCATGAAACACGATCATACGGCCTTTAGCAGAAACCACTAACTGTTTGCCTCTGCCTTTAATTGATTGTTTTTTTTTCTTAAAAGCACTTTCCAAAATAAAAACCGGGGCTCTGAAATATTGTGTTACTGGGTTCCTTTTGGCTTTCTTAACAGTTGCTTTCACTAGCGAGGGAGGGACTGATGTCACTGCGTGTGTTCAGGGTTCAGGGTGCTGGGGCTCAGAGTGCTGAGGTTCAGGGTGCTGGGATTCCAGTGTTCAGGGTGCTGTAGTTCAGGTGCTCAGGGTGCTTGGGTCCTGGGTGCCCAGAGCTGAATGCCTTCTGTCAGACGCTCAGCAGCACAGTGAAATAGACGAGTCTGCGGCCCATCTGTATTTCCTTGGTTTTGGCAGTTACCTGCAGAGTGAAGCCATGGTCTGCAGATGGCCGTCACGCACACACACATGCCTGGGCTGTATCCTGAGAGCCCCTTCTGCAGAAGTGCTTAAAGCAGGTGGTACAGTTCCTCTCCACGCTCGGTGGGCTCTGCAGACGGGCGTCTCCACCAGGGGGTCTCTGCGGGGCTGTGCATTGTGTGTGTGTGTTTTGTGTGTGTGGATTGCTTGTTCTGTGTGCTGTGTAGTACGTGTGTTGTGTGTGTGGAGAGTGTCTTTGTGCATCGTGTGTGTGATGTGAGGTGTGTTGTATGTTGAGAGTGCTGTGTGGTGTGCGGTGTGTGTTTGATTAGAGCTTTATCAGAGCTGCCAGGGGGCTGCAGGGAGAGATAGCCAGCTCTCCTCTCCCAGCTGACATCAGAGCCCTGACAGCGCCCCGCCCCGGAGACACTGCAGCTGGGATCAGTGGCATCACGTTTACCCAGGTGCTCAGGCTGCACACAGTCCTGCTGTGAGATACATCGCTGTTCATTGGCTGGACTCCTGTTTGTTTCTGGAAGGTTTGGACTGAAGGACCATTCCTGTTTCCTGACTACAGAGGGAGGCTCCTCAGCTTAGCACTGTGGCCTCTGTGCTGTACAGGAGATGTCACTCACTGTGGCCTCTGGGCTGTACAGGAGTGGTCACTCACTGTGGCCTCTGTGCTGTACGGGAGTGGTCACTCACAGCACTGTGGCCTCTGGCTGTACAGGAGTGGTCACTCACTGCGGCCTGCGCTGCTCAGCCTGTTCCTTATTACCCAGGTCTCCCGGGCGGGTGGAGGATGTCCAGCGCTGGGGTGGACTCGGGTCACTCAGGGGCAGCCAGGCTGACCGCTGAAGGACCATGACCCTCATCCTCATCAGCGGACACACCCCGGTCCGGCACGTGGGCTCATTCGGTCCCTGTGCGGTCAGGGGCGACTGCCCTCGAACCCCCTGTCCGCAGGGCCTGCCCACGCAGGTGAGAGGGGGAGGGGCCAGCCGGCGCGGGGAGAGCTCCCTCCTTTTGTGCCTGCTTCCCGGGAATACTCCCCCGGGACAGCGGGACAGCGGGGAGGGGAGCGCGGAAGTCGGACCGCAAGCCCGCAGCGGCGGTGAATGATTGAGGCCTCACCTTCCCTCCCGCGCCGCAGCGTGTGCAGGGTGGGGAAGGGGGGGCTGCGGGCCTCTGGGCCCTGCAAACCCCAGATTCAAGTATTTCTGCTGCTCTGTCGCGCCTCTTTAATTTCCACAGTGTTCTGCAGCTCTGTGCGGCTCATTGATTGCTTTGACAAAGTGCCTGCTGTATGATTAGTTTAAACCAAAGCCCACCCCACCCTCCCACCCCCCATATGTGCACCCAGTTTTCTGCTGGCAGTTTCTGGGGTGACAGACCCTGCTCCCCATGAGACACCCCTGCCATCTCCCGGCCTCCTCTGACAGACAGGTGGGTGGTGGGGCGAGGTGTCGGCACCGACGGGTCTCTCCGACATGCGTGAAGTCAGGCAGGTCCCAGTTTTGTCCGATCTGGTGGCGTGTTGCATACCCCCCTGGCGGACCCCTCTGTCTCTCCCTCTGTCTCTCCCTCTCTCTCTCCCTCTCTCTCCGCTCCAGCACTTTTATCCAGCATTTAAACAGGCACCTCGAGCCGTTCAGAGCAAGTGCAGCTCCCAGAGTCCTGCAGACCAGCAGCAGCAGCAGCTGAGCAGTGGCCAGCGTGGAAAGACCTTGTGGCCACAGCCGGCGCAGAGGTCAGCCCGAGCCGGAGGACGAGGAAGGCAGGCTGCCCCACACGCAGCTCCAGGCGGCCTTCCCTGGGAGCAGGCTTGCGGAGGTGCTGCTGAGAGCCGGGGCCTCGAGGGCCACACAGCGGGAGTCGCCAAGGCAGTGGAGATGTGGGGCACCCCGCAGTGGACCCCCAGCCCTCTCCTGCCCCAGCCCTCTTCCTCTTCCTCACCCTGCTGGGGGGCGACGGAGCGCTGAGATTGGGAGGTGCGGCCGTGTGCGAGAGGTTGGGGGGGGGGGAGGGGCACCGGAACAGCGGGGACCAGCCTTCGGGCCACCAGACGGGGGCGGGGGGCACACCCAGACGTGTGTGATCGGAGACCGCCCGCCGGAGGCGCGCAGAGAGGACAGATAAGATAGCGGCGCCCCGCGGGGAGACTTGTTTTGCCTCCGCGTGCCTGTGTTCCTAACTCTTCCCCACACGCTCGCTCGCTCGCCCGCCCGCTGGGAGAAGCGGCCGGCTCTGACCCCCCGTCTGCAGGGCTGCCGCTGGGGTTAACTGCCGAGGGCAGGGCTGGGATCCCGGAGGGACTGTGGATTAGAGCAGGAATTCCTCTCCTCTTCTGCGGCAGCTGTGGCTCCCGCGTCTGGGACACGAGCACCGTTCGGGAGCGGACCTGGGGGCCGGAGGCGTGGTGGACAGGGATCTGCGGCGGACAGAGACAGGCGGGCAGAGGCTCGGAGAGGGAGGCCTGTGACCGTCCTGCCCGGAGCTCTGCTGAGACAGGGTGAGACAGGAGCGCCATGCCGGGCCGCACGGCCATGCTGGGGCTTCTGGAGGTGCTGCTCTTGTCCTGCCTGGGGACCCCCGGGGGCCTGGCCTGGAGGCCCTCCCAGCCGCGCCTGCAGTTCAGCTTCTCAGGTAAGAGCCGGGACGCGCCGGGATACACCGGGATACACCGGGATACACTGGGGACACCGGGATACGTGCAGGAGAATAGAGGAAGAGCTGCGCACTCGCGAGTGGAGAGGAGCGGGACTCCGGGCTGCCTGCGGCGTGCTCTCTGCCCCTGGCGCGAGGGGCGCGGTGTCGGTCTCGGCGAGGGGCGATCTGCGTGCGCGGGATGGGGGGTGCTCTCCGGTGGTCGGGGGGAATACTGGGGTCAGCGGAGGCAGGTGGGAGCTCCGGGCTGCTCTGCGGCTCTGGGAGCGTTGGAGGGCAGGTTGTAGGGCTGGGGCAGGTGGACCTGGGGCAGGTAAGTCGGGGCGGCGGGGGGAGAAGCCTTGGGCAGGGCTCTGCGGCCCCGCTGTGCCCTGATCTCCCTCTTGTAGCGATTGTCTGTTTCTGGCCGCGAGCGAGGACGGTTTTCCGATGGGGTCCGGATCGGTGGCTGGAATCCAGCAATCGGAGCCTCGGCGCTGCACTGTGGGCTCCGGGTCTGGGACCAGGACTGCAGAAGTGCTGAAATCTAGGAAGCTGCTGCCTGTCCTGTCGTCAGCTTGGGGACGGCCGCGCGCAGGGGGCACTTGCTGTGTCCTGTCAGGAAAACCCAGATTTCTGTTTTCCCGCTGCGTGGCGCCCTGGTGGAGTAGTTATTCCCGCTGGCACAGCAGTCGCGTGCCGGCTGGGATTCTGGAAGAGCACACCTTGTGTGTGGAGTCTGCGTGTTCTCCCCGCCGCCACACGGGGGCTCCTGTTCCCCCCCCTGTGCGAGGAGATTCTGGCTGGGCTCCCGGGGTGTCCTCTGACGTCCCAGATGAGTCCCGCTGCCGGAAGGCGGAGGCGACGGGGACGGAGCGTTTCGGGGGCTGGTCCAGCTTTCCAGCCCCTTTCATCCCCAAGGCGGGGGGGAGACGAACCGCTGTGGGGCAGGGGACAGAAGGGGGGGACGCGTGGGCCCGGCCCGGCCCGGCCCGGACCAGCCCGCGACATCCCTTCTGCCGGCACCGACCGCCGCTGGGGGTTGAAGGTCACGACCTTTTGATGACCTGCTGTCGCAGAAGGTCACTGCGCGAGCTGAGGTCATGGGGACTGGATCGGAGACCCCCCCCCCACCCCCCCATACTCCCGGGGGAAACGGCGCCTGACAGCGGTTCTCGGGGTCCGCTTCGGCCCGGCCCGGAAACCGGATCCTCAATTAGTCCCACTGTTTCCCCGGACGGAAGCTCCGCGTGGCTCCTCCACCTGTTCCTCGTTTGCGCCGCCGGGGTCCCGCTGGGGTCCCGGCGGCTCTGACGACGAGGAGGAGGAGGAGGAGGAGGGGGAGGAAGAGCCGCTCACAGAGCGCCCCGCCGCAACTGCACGACAAATGACCCTGTTTTGGGGGAACAGCGTTTTTCTTTTCTCTTTTTTTCAACAACAACACAAAACAAACAGGCTTTTCTTTCATTCTGTTCTCGCTGCCGCCCGCGCCACAGTTGTGTTTTCCCGGAGCAGGCCGACAGCTGGGACCGGACCCGTTAATGAGGACCTCGTGCGCCTGACGCTGTGGCTGCCCCTGGGTCCGAGAGGGGGGGGGGAGACCGCGGCTGGAGGACAGTTACTTGGCCTTAGTGTTTATTCACAGTGGGGGAAAGGGCGTCGGATCCCAATAAACAGTGGGATTAATAAAACACACCCCAGCTGGGGCTCCCCTCACTCTGCAAACAGGCAGAGGGAGCGAATCCGTCAGGACTGTGACGGGGCGGTCCGGCTGGAGTCGGGCGCTTGCTCAGGGGCAGGAAAGTCACCTTGACCAGGAGGAGGCGCTGTTCTGCCCCAGCTGGGCTGGAGTCCAGTGGGATGATGGGAAGCGAATTCGGGCCTGTGTGACTCTGAATTAGAAATTGGTTTTCTCCTAGCACAGTGTGCAGGGGCAGTCCCACAGTGGCAGTCCCACAGTGGAAATTATTTCTTCTTTTGTGGACTGAACTGATTTATTCAGTGGACTTATTCCTGGTCGGGTTTCACACTGTGTGGAGTTTCAGTTCAGAGGGCAGTACATCACAAAAGGCCTGAGAGTCAGTGAGCTGTCTCAGAGCCAGGAGTACGAAAAGAAGAGCGATTGTGTATTGTGTTAGGGAATGTTTTTTTGTGTATTGGCATCTGTGTGGTATTACTGTGGTCATCAGTGTGTAGTAGCAGGTTTGAGTATAGAATTTGTATAGACATGTGTGTGTCAGAGTGTGTGCAGTCAGTGTACGGTATATTCATGTGTGTGTATTTAAGTGTTTGTGTGTATCAGGGTGTGTGTATTTGTGTGGGTGCTGTCAGGGTGTGTGTGAGTATCATGCTGTGTGTATTTGTGTGTGTGTATTTGTGTGTGTATGAGAGTCTGTATCAGAGTGTGTGTATTTGTGTGGCTGTATCCGGATGTGTGTATCAGATTGTATTTGTGAGTGTGTATCAGAGTGTGTGTGTATTTGTATGTGTACAGTCAGTCTCTTTCCCTGGCCTCAGTTTGCAATCACAGACCACCATCGGAAAATGAGGTGTAATTGGTTCCTTGATAAGCCCATTTCCATAGGAAATAAGCCACAGCTTCCTGAAGTACCCTGGCGCGCTGCTGGGATGCAGACTCCCAGCAGGGAACGGGATGAGAAACAGCACTCGGAAAACCGTAAAAGGAAAAAGAGCGGGGAGCAGGATGGCCGTCGCCCCCCGAGCCCCCCAGAACCCGCACGTAGCCGTTCCTGGGAATCGGTGGAGGCTGTGAAGTGGCCCAGCCCCCTCAGCACAGCCCTGCCCTGATCTCCAGGCCACCCAGTGCGGACCGTGTCTGACCTGACGGCCCCGCGGTCCCTGGTGTGGTAAAGGCACTGTAATGGGCTAATGGAGGGAGCTCGGGTGCGCTGCATGATCTGAGTGATCCGGGACTTCAGTCATGTTGAAGAAACTGCCCCCCTTAACTTCAGACAAAGGTTTAAACCCTCGAGGTGCCCACCCTGTTTATTAGATCAGGTGGGTAGCTGCGTCAGCGTGCGTGGGCGTGCTTGTCCCCCCACACACCCGAAGAAGGCTCCACAGCCGAAACGTTGCGTTTTCTCTCTTCTCGGTTCAGCAGGGAATAAACCCATTCCCTGTTCCTGTGTCTGTGTCTGTAAGGTGTCTGTAAGCTAGAAGGTGTCCATTCCAGTCGCCTGGGCCAGGGCAGGGAGTGTGAATTAGGAAGAACTCGCTGAGGGCTGAGCTGCCCCGGGGCGGGATGGATGCCCAGCACCAGCCGGGCCAGATCTCATCCCAGACACGTGACGGGTCCCTTCTCTGGAGGAAAGCCCTCAGGTCATGTGTCAGCGCTGTGAAGAAGCCCAGTGAGTCTGAGCCTCCTGCTCCAGGACTGGGTCTAGTAAGATTGCATTAAGGAATTTAGCAGCCCGGAAAGTAAAAAAACAGCAAGTATAATCTTTAAATTATATAGCGCCTCTCCCGACCCATCTCCTTAAGATCTCCTTCTTAAGATCTCCTTCATCTCCCTAATTTAATGCGATAAACGGAGTTGAGAGCCAGCATGTACTGTAAAAGTGGGGTTTCAGACAGGACTCGACAGTGCTGGCTGACTTGCCAGCTTCCGGGTGGGCTGAGAGCCACTCATTCATTCCCCAGCCCTGGAGAAGCAGAGCCGAGAGCGTGACTCTTTCAAAACAGATAGAAAGCTGTGGTTTTGCACACAGACCCCTAACTTCTGTGTTTCTGTGAGCCGGCCAAGTGAGTTCCCCTCCAAACCACCTCCTAAATACCAGCGCATGAAACACAGCGCGCTGGAAATTACACTTAATGACACTCTGGGTTTGAAGGAATCCCAGAGCTCGTGAAATTGGTTGTCATTGATTTAAATGCCCCATCCATCATGCTGCAGGTCTCCAGCCTGTACATTCCTTCACAGAGCCTGGGCCAGGTCCCGGGGCAGCGCAGACCCGTTCACCCCGGGGTCCCGGTGTGGAGGTCGGGGCGAATTGGCCCCGCTGTCTTGAGCAGGCCTGCAGCACCACTGCCGATTCTTCCCACAGTCACAGGGTTCAGTGAGGTTGGTCCCTCGGATATGGGGCTGCAGAGGAATGAAGCCGACGGTCTCATCTTGGCCATCCCTCTCTCGCAGTGTACCTGGACTCATTGTGGGGGGCGGGCACTGCAGTGGGCTGTGATGTTGCTTTGCAAACGGGGCATTGTTTCTGGGACCTGAGCGAACTGGGCGGACGTGGGCAGGAATGTTCCTCATTCCTCCAGGACCTGCGGCCTCGGCCCCCAGACAGCAGCCTTTGCTGAGCCGAGGTGGGGCGATGGGACACGCGACTGCCTGCTGCTCAGCCATCTGAAGTCTCCGGTCAGCGCAGATCTGGGCGCTCTAAATCTCCCTCCTCCTCATGGGGGCGCAGGCCGTGCCACTGTCTGTTTTTATTCCTGCACCGAAGAAGCCAGGCCCAGAGACAGGAATGTGAAACTCGACCCCCACGGACGTCAAAACATTTGTTCTGCAGGCCTGCCTGAGCCGACACGCGGCCTCTCGTTGTCACAGTCCAGAAGACACAAGTCGGGACGCGTTCTCCGCTGAGGGGTGGTTTCTGGCCCGGGACCCTGCTGGGGGATGGTCACGGGCGTCGGGGGGCTCTGAGTCCAGCTGCTGGGGCGGACATACAGACCCACACCTGGCCGCCCCTTCAGCCTGCCTGTGCGGGACGGTACAGCAGCCCCTGTTTCGGATCAGGGTGTGGGAGGGGCCTTGGCGAGCGCAGTGGCCTTTCGGTTGCAGGACATTGCATTAATTGCATTAATTGGTTCAATTAAGAAGCCGAGACCTCCTGAGACGAGACCCTGTACCTGTGGCTCAGGAATCCCTCCTGGCTCTCTCACGCGCCCGTCAGTCAGGCTGGTGCTGCCAGCTCTATGCCTTAAGATTCGTTTCGATGAAAAACCGTCCTCTTGCTCCACAGCCGCTGACAGTCGGA